CCTGCGAGCAACTTCTGCCGGGAGCCCCGAGGAGTTTTAGGGGGGGCAAGTCTGCCTGAAGGTTTAAGCCCTACATGCCGTTTTTTGGGGGGTACCCGGTTTAAGGGTTAGGCTTCAGGCACGATAATCAGAACTAACATGCCCCAAATTGTAAGCCTCTATTCAACTTAAAGCCGAGGAAATGATCCTGCTTTCGCTATGATCCTAAGTGTATCGTAAGCCTACACCCTATCCTTCGCTTTCTCCTGTCCGCTGCTTTGACACGAAAACCTGAACTTGGACCTAAACCCTAAACCCTCAACCCCAAACCATTGCACCTAAAAAGAGAACGATAAGAACACTCCACCACCCTCAACCCTTAAACCCCAAACCCTCGGCACAAAAAGAGGTGCAGTGTCTATTAAGGTTTTGAAGAGATCCTGAACCCTCACTCGAAAAGCCCGCTCCACACAGTGAACCTTCCATGAAGTCCTAAAAGCCCAAAGCCTACACCCCCAACCCCCAATTAAACCCTAAACTCTAAACCCTGCACCCGTAAACTACTGAGCCGCTAAAGCTCTAAACTCTAAAGCCACCGAGGCAGAGCGTCCTGGACCAGCGGAAGCCGCCGAGCGCGCCAGAGGCCGGCCGGCGGTTTTGAGGGCGTAGAGCTTGGGAGTCCTAAACCCAAAACCCAAAACCCAAAACCCTAAACCCTAAACCCTAAACCCTAAACCCTAAGCCCTAAGCCCTAAGCCCCAAACCGGTGGTTTTTAAGTGTCTTTAAAACATCGAGTTGCTTCAATGCTGTTATGGGCAATGGGAGTACATTTAGTCGGCTAACACGCGTTTCATATCAAAATGCATGAAGTGCCATCTGGAAGTATAGGCTCTGATTGTTAATATGCTTAACTTTTCTTTCGTCCAGATTCAGCAGTGAAAAGGAACCGTGAAAGTTAGTTGTGTGTCCCGACAACTGTCCCCTGATAAAAGCATTGCCGTTGATGGTAGAAACAAAAAGCTCACTAGGATATGAAGCGGGGTAAAGCGTCAGCCTGAACATTGGGCTGTTGATTTTCGGCTTTGCCTCCCGAGGCTTCCAAACCCCAAACCTCAAACACGCTTTGGTTTAGGGTTAGGGTGTAGGGTTTGGGGTTTAGCCCCCGAGATAGAACCTAGGACGTAAGGGGCCTTGGAGTTTAGTGAAAGGCTAGGGCCTCTGTTAGGAATAATCCCAAACCCAGAATAGGGCCGTTACTGTAGTAATCAAAGTTTCAGCAATATTGCTTGACTAAGGGTTGATTAAGGGGCTTAGGGCTTTGATCGTTCAATTTTGGTGCGGCCCCACCCCCCTAGCCCTCCGAGCTTTGGGTTCTTGACTTCAGCACACGGTTTGCGGTGAAAGGGTTCAGGGCTTAGGGTTTATGAGTCGTTTACGATAACCCTCATCCCCTTAAGTCCTAAACTTCCTAAACCCTAACACCAGGTCTTGGTAGGGTTCTCAGCCCTGAAAGCAGCAGGAGCCCCTGATGGACTTGCGCCAGAAGCTTCGGGACACGCAGTCGGTGTTGGGGCAGGTGCCGAAGTGGGACGGTGTGTTGAGGGTGTAGGGGCGTGGGGCCACAGGTAGACGTAGAGTGTGGGGTGTAGAGTGCGGGATGCAGTTGCAGGGTGGAAGGTGTAGGGTTTGGGGTGAGGGATGTTTGTGCAAAGTGCAAACTACACAAGCAGCAAGTAGCAAGAGCAGCGTAAGGTGTTGGCTGCTGGTCTCAAGGCTGAGGGAGGTAGGCCACGTCTTGAGAATACAAGGTACAATGCCGGCGCAGCCGGGTTCCACTCAAGCCAACAGACATCTTAGACAGGGGTTGCAAACCCTGAGACCTCAAAGCTTCCAGTGTGATTCAGATGCACAGGTTTTAGGGCTTAGGGTCATTGTACCTTAACTAAGCTACGGGTCAGGGAGCCCTTAGCTGTGTTGCTGTGAGGAAATTTCAGTTAAGCTACCACAAAGCGGAAACGAGATTTGTTGTTTGTACGGTCATATGACCGACGCCCCAACCCCAGGATGGGCGGGGTCGTAGTTGGCAATGCCAGTTTTCCTTTGATCTGAAGAGTAGCCAACGATGATGTTCATCCTTAGCAGCAACCATCAGCAACCCAATAAAACCTGAGACCCCCCCCCCCCACGGTACGAACAGGCCGGCACCCGCCACGAGGAGGCCATGATGCGCGCCAAAGCAAGCGCCAGGTCCGTGCCCCGAGGGTTAGCGGGGCCCTGTAACCCCAAAGCCTGAAGCCGGCCTATCCCTGGGCCTACACCCAGACCTACACGCTACAGTCTACAGCCCAAAGCCTGAAACCTAAACCCCAAGCCCTGAAAGCAACTGGGCCAACAAAGCCCTGAGCTTGTCTTTTCGGCTTCGGGCCTATTTACCGTGAAAATATGAAGCCCTTCACTTGATCAGTGAGGCCACCAGACATCCGAACTCGTTGATTGCATGAGACTTGCACTCAGAAAGCTTCTAGACGTGCTACCTAAACCCTAAACCCTCAACCTCAACCCTCAACTCTGACCTTGAAGCCCACACCCATCCCCATGATGCCACCCTAAGCCCGTTCTTCAGCTGCAGCTGTGTGGCTGAACCCCAAACCCCAACCCTAAACCCTAAACCCTATAAACCCTACACCCTAAACCCTAAACCCTAAACCCTAAACCCTAAACCCTAAACCCTAAACCCTAAACCCTAAACCCTAAACCCTAAACCCTAAACCCTAAACCCTAAACCCTAAACCCTAAACCCTAAACCCTAAACCCTAAACTCCAAGCCTTCCGGACTTGCAGGTTGGCTCAGGCCGCAGCCTTGGGCGTGTCGTTCCCCAAACCCCCAAACAGCCAAAAGCGGAAAACATTTAGGTTCGGGGTTTGGGGTTTAGGGTTTAGGGATCGGGGTTCAGGGTCTCTGCGTTCAAAATTCAACTATAAATGGTAGTGTACCATGATGCATGGCATTGTTGGTAGAGCTTCAGCGTGCTTGATGAATTTTCGCTGGATGTTCGAGAGTGTCCGGTAGCTGTAAATGGAATCCATGTGGGCACTTCACGAAGGACTCGGCTACCCCGAAGATATTCCAAAAACACTACTGTAGAAGCCGTACTGTAGGACGCCCTCACAAAACGTCCCCTTGTTGCAGGTCCTCCTTGGGGTAGTAGCATCTGATCCTGGAAGGGCAGCTTCGCACTCCTTAACAATCCCAAAAACCCTTAAGCCCTAAGACCCGTAAAGCTCCTATAAAGGCCCTAGCCACCCCCAACAAAACCCTGAAAAACGAAAGCCCCTGAACCAGCCCTAAGCCGCTAACTCCTTACCCCCCACCCCCCCTCCTTAAACCCTAAGCCGCCCCAGAACTTCCGAGCAAAGGCCGAGCCCATGGTAGCGCCCTGGGAGCCCGTCGCCCGGGAGCCCCTGGTGCGGGAGCCGCGCGCCCCCGAGCCGCGCGCTCCCGAGCCCAGGACGTGTGCGGCCCCAGTCCGAGACAAGGGGTTTGGGGGTGTAGTTTAGGGGTTTAGGGTAGTGTAGGATTTAGGGTTTCGGGGGTTTAGGGATTTGGGGGTTCTGAAAGCCCAAAACCCCCAAACCCTTGATCCTGGAAACTCCTCGCACCCCTAAGCCCCTAAACCCCCGCCAAACCCCTAAACGCCCCTAACACCCCTAAGCCCCTAAAACCTCTGGTGAACATGAACCCTGCACCCCTAAACTCCATAAACTCCCTAAACTCCCTAAGCTCCCTAAACTCCCTAAACTCCCGAAACCCCCTAAACTCCCTAAACTCCTAAACCCTTCCTAAACCCGAAACTTTCAGAAATCCTGAGCTATCACCAAGGCAGGAGGCCAGCGCGGCCACGCCTTCGAGCTTTGCAAACGTTTCATTTCCTAGGTAGGCCCTTGGTACATCTACATTTTCCCTCTTTTGGGTTTAAGAGGACCATGTCTCGGAATATTCTTGGTGCATTCTATGTTTTCCCTTATTGGGTTTCAGAGGATCATATTCAGGAACATTTGTTTCCGAGGTTTTCAGGGCCATCCTCGTTTCCCAGGGGCTGAAACAAGCTCCCAGGAACCCTTGTTCCCCACGCGGCAGGGGACTCCCAGATGACTTATAGAGTTTTGGGTTCAGGCTCTAGGGCCTCTAGGGTTTAGGGTGTAGCCCTGTGACACCTTGAGCTACACTCTTACTGTAGAGGGAGGCGCCTTCCGGACGTAGCCGCAGAATTGCATCAGGGCGGAAAAGTCGCCTTTGATGCTGGAGGTGCATCACAGCAGGGAGTGGTGGAGAACAGTGCAGTGCTCTAAACCCTTCTTCTCGGCTTTCGTAGCCGGGGCTTCTTTTCAGGTCAGTTCGGCACTGAGGATGAATCACATGAAGGACACTGAATCTACGCGTGTATAGGTTCAGGGTTCAGGAAGATTCTTGAGACAAGCAAAACCCGCGGAGCTGAAGAGGTTAGTTTGTGATGTCGGGCTTAGGGGCTCAGATCAGGCCCCCATGTGGTGTCCCAGATGCGTCTTTAGAGAGTTTGGGGTGTCCTGTCCTAAACCCTAATCCTGAGCCCTGGCCTCGGTTCGAGTTTGGGGTTGCAGCAATGAGAGCGAGAGCTCTGGCCCGAAGGCAAGAGGACCAAACGACAGATGCGAAACCCCCTCAAACCCCGAACCCGGAACTGCCTAAACCCCAAACCACCTAAACCCTAAACCATAAAGCCTAAACCCTAAACCCGAAGCCCTAGAGCCTAAACTCTAAGCCAAGCAAGATGACCGAGCAACAGATGGAACACCCTTCCGAAACCAAACCTTGCCTTCGCAGAAGCTCATCCCTCTTGCGACTCCCTGACCAAACAGCCCTGAACTTCGGTTTTGGGTTTAGGGCTGTGCCCCCGTAAAGCCCCGAAACCCTGAACCGAACCCCAATTTCTTCACTTCTAGACCACAAGAGGTTTCGAGGTTTCCTCCAGCTTTGCAAGCCATGGCCGCGGATCTCGAGACCTTTCTGCAGGAAGAGGTGGGCGCTCTAAACGCCGACGAAGAGGAGGACGACACCCTGGAGATCCCGAAGCCCAAATCCCTAAATACCCTAAGCCCTAAATCCGAAACACGAAGTACCCTAAACCCTCAACGAGGACGAGTACGCAGATGTGGACTGGTGCGACCCGGGGGAGGTGGAGGAACCTGGCTTGCAGGACTTTGCTGCTTGATGAATTCAGGGTGCTCAGGGTTTCTAGGGTTTTGAGGGCCGTCTGCAAAGTTTTGAAGATGCCAAGCCCTGAGCCCTAAACCCTAGACCATGCATTATGTACGCCTTGCTGGTGTAGGGTTGGATTTAAGACAAAGCCCCTAAAACCCTCAAGCCCCTCAACTCTAAACCCTTAGGCCCCCGAAGCCCTTACACCCTAAACCCCTAAACCCTAAGCATAAGCCCCCAAATCCTTAAACCCCAGTCCTGAGACCTTGACCCTAAACCCTAAACCTTGAACCCTAATTTAGAAACCCTAAGCCCGAAACCCGCCACGAGGAGGAGGAGGAGGCTGCAGAGCCGGCGGCGGAGCCGCGTGGCCGAGTCGCCGAACAGCCTGGTGGACCCCCGAAGCCCACTAAGGAGGCCCTTTGCAGCTTTCAGGTTTAGGGTTTCGGGTTCAGGGTTTAGGTCTAGAGGGTTCAGGGTTCAGGGTTTCGGGTTTAGGGTTTACTTCTTTTCGTTGGGGTCCTTTTGGCGTACTTCTTTTAAGCGTGGGACCCAAAAAGGGACCCTAATCCAAAGAGCTACGCACGCAGCGGTGTAGGATTTAGGGTTATGGGAGTAGGGTGTAGTGTTTTAGGGGTTTAGGGTATTTTAGAGTCATAGGAGCTTAGGGGTTATCCAGCTTCGGGGCTTCGGGAAGTCTTGGACAGCGGAGTGCATAGCTTCGGGTGGTTCGGCAAGGTTTGGCGTTTTAAGGCGTCTTTAGGTTGCGGCGAGAAGCCCAACTACCTTGAAGGAGGCGGAGGAGGCCAAGAGGCTGCGGAGGCAGGCGGTGCTTCAGCACCGCACCCTCTCCCTCTGCTGCGTCGCCCGGCTTGCGTGGCTGAGCCTCAGACTGATTGGGGGTTGGGGACGTTGGGGACATTAGGGTTCCGGGTCTTAATCATGGTTTTTGGGGTTTAGGAAGCCAACATCCGAAACTTCGGGGGTTTAGGGTTGTAGGGCTTTAGGGTGTTGGGGAACCGGAATCCTTAACTCCAGGGTCTGGGCTGACACCCTAAAACCTTAAACCCGAAACCCGAGAAGCCCCAAAGCCTTAACACCCTGCCCAACACAAAAACAGGTCCCTAACCCGTAAACCCCCGTAAACCCTCAAGCCGAAAACCCCAAACCCCCAAATCCCTAAACCCCATAAACCCCATAAACCCCATAAACCTTGTAAACCCTGCAAACCCTGTAAACCCTATAAACCTTGTCAACCCTATAAGAAACCCTATAAACATTCCCGAGAGCATGCGAGGAACAGGATGTGCAACCAGGACCTCCTGCAGGCGGCGCTCCTCTCCCTGGCGCCCGACTGCCTCAAGGCTTGTTGCGCGAGCGGCTTGGGTTTTTTTTGTAGTTTGGGGCTTTTGGGGTTTTAGGGTTTTAAGGGTTTTAAAGTTTTTGCGCTTAGTGCTTTAGGGTTTCGCGTTTGGGGTTTAGGGTTTTAGGGTGAGGGCTTTTATTGTGGGGAGTGGGGTTTGGGGGTTGAACATGTCTTTTAAACGGAGATCCTAAGCCCAAAGTGTGAACCCTGCCTGGAACACACAAGATCCTAAGCACTCCACGCTGAACACTCCCTAAACCCTAAACCCCAAAGCCCTTAAACCCATGAAACCCCAACACCCTCGAATGCAGCCCCTAGAACCCTCAAGCCCACCCTAGAGCCCTGGAACCCCAACTTGCTGATTCTTCAACCGGCAACTCGAGACATCGGTTCCCATGTAGCACGAAATTACAGGGCTCTACAAACCCTAAACCCCAATCCTACGCCCCCTCCCCCGCCCCCCAAAGGCCGGCGTGGGCCAGGCGCTGCAGAACCTGAAGGCCGCGCCTAAACCCTCACTCCACCGTAAAACCCTGAACCTCCCGTAAGCCCTCAATCTCCCTGTCCCCCTCTGTAAACCTCGAGGCCACGCTGAGAGCCTCCGACTCGCCAGCGCAGAGGGGGACCCAGGAGGCCTGTTTCGGGGCATTTTTTCCAAGCTTGGCGTGTTGGGGTTTAGAGGGTTTTGGGGGGTTTGGGGGATTTGGGGGGTTTAGGGGTTTAGGCGGGTTTTAAGTTGAGGGGTTAGGGGTTTAAAATTTTTGGGTTTAGGGTGGGGTTAAGAGGCGACGCCAGTTTAGGCAGCCAGGGTTGGGGTTTAAGGCTTCCGGGGGCTCAACGCCCGTACACTCTGAATCCCAAAGCCTGACCATGCGTGAACCGTAAACCCCAGGCCTTAAATTATTCAATGCTGAGCCCAATACCCCGAAAAAGAGTTTAGGGTTTGCCGTTTAGGGTTTAAAATGCTCTGATTGTAAAATAAATCCCTTGTTCCCCACCCCAGAATCAGTGTGCAGGTCCAGCCCAGCTTGGTGCGGCTTCTCCGGGCTCTGCACAGCTCCCCTAAAGATCTGGGCGCTGAGGCGTGAGCCACCACATGGGGTTTAGGTTTTGGGGTTTAGGGTTTAGGGTCCCCCCAAGCCCTATACCCTACACCCTACACTCTGAACCCTAAACCCAAAACCCTAAACCCTAAATCCTCAACCCTTAAAGCCCTTAACTCTCCAAAGGCCCTTCGTAAGAGGAGTGGGTGCTGCTTCTGGTGGCCCGTTGCCGCGCGGAGGGGCGAGCCAGCCGCCTGGCCATGCGCCTGCCCCTACCGCCGGCCAAGTCTTGCCTGGGCCTCCTGAGAAACCCAGGGGAGGAGAGTGAGGTTTAGGGTTTGGGATTTAGGGGGTGCATTGCCTGCAGTCCCCCAAAGACCTGTGAGTAGGGGCGTGGAGGGTGCATTAATGGAGGTATTTCAGACCATATCCTAAGATTTTCCCCTGAAAGGCAACCCCAAGCCGTCCCTTTCTACTTCTACCCGACGCGCATCACCTTAAAACCCTCAACCCTAAAGTCTAAAGAATAAACCCCAAACCCTGAACCCTAATCCTGGGCCCTGAACAGGAGGCTGGCCAACTTCAGGCATGCGTGTCAAAAAACTCTGAAAAGCTTCCTGGTCGTGGACGCTTAGCGTTGAGGGTTTCAGTGGGTTCGGTGCTCTCCAGTTTCAGGACCTGGTTGAGGACACCGAACCCTAAGCCCCCTAAACCCCGTAAACCCTAAACCCAGACAGGTCTGGGCCGAGATCTTCGACCCCCAGGCGCGTCGCTGGAGGGGCCTGGTCCCGCCTGCAGAGCGGCGGGTGCCTGGTGAGGCCCGGATTTGCACATGCGGTGCGTGTTTGATTGAACAACCGCAGGGCACAGGACAGACAGACCAATATGCATCAGTTGGGTGTGGAGTCATGTGTTTTTTCTGCAACATGTTGACAGTAAGTGAAGACGCCTTTCCGTTGGCGCTAGGCAAAGATACAATGTGTTGGAGTATTGTTGGAAGTCGAAGCCTGGGCCATGGGCTTGACACCGCAGTCCCGGAGTTAGGGTTCAGCGCGTTGACAGGTTTGTAGGTTTCAGGGCTTAGGGATCGAGAGGTTGGGGAGGACTTCACTGCATGGGAGGCCATCTGGGTACTTGCGATGGGACCTCGAAACGACCTGTGGGACGTGACGCGGCGCTACACACGCTGGAGCGTCGTGTGCCAGGCGGCCAGAGTTTTCAGTGCAGGTGCAGGTTTCTATGGGTGTGGTGTAGGGCCTAGGGATTCTGCAAACGGGTTTATGGTCGGGAGTCTAGGGTTGGGCATTAGTGTTGCAACCCTGACCCCTTGCCCCTTAAGCCTTACCCCCTAAATCGTAAACCCTAAATCGTAAACCCTAAACCCTCTACCCCACGAAGCCCTGAGCCCCGATGCCCCGAAACTCTCAGGCTCGCGGGTCCTTGACGAAGCCCTGGGAGCAAATGCTGCAAACCTTGCGGCTTCGCGAGGTCGAGAGCGAGCGTGGCTGGGAAGGCTACTGGACTTTAGGAGCTTCGGGTTGTAGACTTTTGAACACTAAACCCTAAACCCTAAACCCTAAGCCCTAAGCCCTAAGCCCTAAGCCCCAAGCCCCAAGCCCCAAGCCCTAAGCCCTAAGCCCTAAGCCCTAAGCCCTAAGCCCTAAGCCCTAAGCCCTAAGCCAGAAAATGCTTTCAGGTTTCGGGTTTAGGATGTAGGAACCCTGAACACCCTAAACCCCTCAGGTTTTAGGACTTGTAGGATTCGTAGGTCTATGGGGTTTTAGAGTTTTCCCTTACAGGTTGTGCACGATGCAGGGTTTCGCCCCAAAAAAGATCAAAAAAGACAAAAGCCCAAGACAGCCCATGAGTCCAAGGCTTGAGGGAGGCCAACTCCTTGGACCAAGAGCGGCTCAAGGAATTGGCCTCCAAGGAGCGGGGGGGGTGCAATTGTTCAAAAAATCGGGTTTTTGGCGAGTTTTGGGGGTTTTAAGGGCTTAGGGTTTTTTTTGGGGGGTTAAGGGTTCAAGGTTCGGAGTATAGGAGGTCAACCGTTGACCCCTTCGATGACCTTAAACCCTACACCCTAAGCGCAAACGTCGAGCGAGAGCGCGAGCACCGAATCCGGCAGCATGATCAGGATGTCGAGGCAACAGCCAAAGAAGACAATTGAAATCTTGAAGACTCTTGGACTCAACCTGGGTCCCTGTCCGGTATAGGACCTTGCAGCAGTCAGTGTTTTCCGAAAGTAAGGACGAGAGAGAGAGAGAGAGAGAGAGAGAGAGAGAGAGAGACAGAGAGAGAGAGAGAGAGCGAGAGAGAGAGAGAGAGAGTCCACCACCGGGCGAACTCGCCCGGGGCTTGACCCCTAACCCTTTGAAAGAAATAGAGAAAGAAAGCAAGAAAGAAAGAGAGAGCGGGGGAGAGGCAGGGACATAGAGCGAGAGAGAGATCGAGGGAGAGATAGAGAGAGAGCGAGAGAGAGAGAGAGAGAGAGAGAGAGAGAGAGAGAGAGAGAGAGAGAGAGAGAGAGAGAGAGACAGAGAGAGAGAGAGAGAGAGATATAGAGAGAGAGAGAGAGAGAGAGAGAGAGACAGGGAGACAGGGACAGGGACAGGGACAGGGACGGGGACAGGCACAGGGCCAGTGTCAAGGACAGGGACCGGCAGGGAGGGAGGAGTGATGCTTGAAACATTGCGTGCAGCTTTTCCACCTCGCTCTTGGCGAAACATGTCTTCCGACAGCACGCTTTTTTGTAGGCCCACACCTTCGATCAAATAATAAAAGGCTTCCACGCAGGTTCCATGTCCACAGCGTAACCCAACCCTCGCTTTCCCGTACTTTGAAGACGGTTTTCATTAACGAGATGAACTTTTCGCGTGGTGAGTACGCCGAGATGGTCTTCTTGGTGCGGCTCCTGAGTGCAGCACCAGCGCGCCTGTGGATGAGAAGCAATCATCCCGAAACGAAACCCGAAATCTTAAACCACGTTGTTTAGGCGTAACCCGCATGGCCCACATTCACCAATGTGCAACATTCCCCGAACTCCCGAACCCGTAAAGCCCCCCGAAGCCCCTTAAGCTTCTAGGGTTTGGGGTTTAAACCCCAAACTTAAACCCCTAACCCTGTCTGAGCATCTAAGCCCCAAACCTCAAAGCCTCTAAACCCCATAAACCCTAAGCCCTAAACCTAAGGCCCAAGCCCTGCCCTGCAGGAGCCCCTCCCCGGCAGCCGGGCGGCATTCCGCCACCACCGGCTCTATGTGCTCAACTCGCAACTGAAGCAGAGCCAGTGCCTGGGCAGGGTGTTGGCTTTCGGGTTCGGTTTATAATTAGGGTTTGAGCTTTCGGGGCGTAGGGTTTCCGGGTTGTGGGGCCGAATTAGGGGGTGTACGGGGCTCCGAAGTCAAGGGGCCTCCACCCGAGTTGTCCGACACCATGTATCATTGGCTTTTGGCTTGGCATGGGGTCATTGGATGTAACACGCACGAGACTCAGTGAGCTTCATAGACAATCTTCTTCCGCAAGCTCGTGGCAAGCTGCAACGTTTTCTATATTTTTGGAGGTCTCGGCCCGACCCACTAGCGGTCTGTCACTCTGTCACTCTGTCTTCCATGAAAAAGCATTCTGGGCACCCCCCTCCCCACCCCCAACCTCATTTTGGGGTGCAAGCATGGGAAGCGGGAATTTTTCATCCGAATTCCATGCAACGCCGACGGCAGAGAAAAGTAACTCCAAACCCTCTTAGCGTCATGCGGCTACTGGGCTACCATGTCGCAAGATGAACGAGTTTGGCATGTTCGAGCTCGGGCTTCGGGGCTTGAGGAGCTTTTATGCCTCAGCTCGTCGCAATCAAGCTTCCCCCTGCCCATTGCTACCCGAAAGACCTAGACCTGAGCCTCTAGACACAGGATTGTGCAAAGTTCCAAGCCAATCGGCTTGTTTCAGGGCAAGGACCCCGAGACTCTGCAAAGGTGACTTGACTTGCTGTTCGGCCTTAGGACCCTTGCCCCAAACCCCTTTAGCCCTAAACTTTCAAAGTAGCTGACAGATGAGATGGGCAACAGCATCCCTTAACTCAACCCCGGCACCCTCAAAATCCTGTCAAAGCTCGCGTTGGGAGAGTCTGTTCTCATATTTTCAGGTCGCAATACACTCAACCCAGAACCCTGCACTACAAATCCACTAGTCTTGAGCGACTGTTAGCTCTTTGAAAGTCGCCCGTTTCTATGGCGGGCCCGTAAAGCCTGAGTCCTACGTCAGCCGTGGCCTAAGCCCCCGAACCCGAGAAGCCCTTGAACTCAGCGCCATGAGCCCCAAAATCTTGGAAAAACCTTAAGCCCCAACCCCGAAACCCCGAAACCCCGAAACCCCGAAACCCCGAAACCCCGAAACCCCGAAACCCCGAAACCCCGAAACTCCTAAACCCTAGACCCTATCACGTTGTGTATTCCTCGTTCTCATCTTTTCTCTTTCAGTTCTCTCTCTCTTTCTCTCTCGCTCTGCGAGAAGCCCCCCCTAAGAGCCGACTCCACCGCGAGGACCCCATCTGGCGCCGGGAGGACGTGAAGGAGCTCCTGACGGCAAGCAAGTGGCGACAGCAAGGTTGGACCCGGACACTGCAGATTAGTGTGGAGGGCTTACCCTAAACCCTAAACCCTGAACTGGGGCTTTGGCCTGAAAACGTTAGGGGTGCGCAAGCCCTAAACGCCAAACCCTAAAACTTAGAAAATCAGACCCGGAGACGCCACTAGGATTGGCTGAGTGTTGGGCTTCGGGTTCGAAAATTCACACGAAATTATGAAACCCAAAGGCCTAAACCCTTTTAGGGTTTGTGCTTTAGGCTTCAGGGCTTTGATTGTAGACTTTACAATAATCGGCCCTACACCATAAACCCGCGCCTGCCCAGCTCCCGTCCCAGGGCGCGTCGTTCGCACTGGTGAGCGACCCACAAAGGCCTGCGGGATTTCTTAAACCCTCACATTCTATATAAGCCCCCTAAGACTGTAGGGTTTAGGGTTCAGGGCTTAGGATTTACCTATAGCTTCTTGCAGACGCGAGCTGCGGGGCCCCGTATAGGACGACTCCCTGAACCCTAAACCCTCAGCCGACAAGTAGAGTTCCAGAGCCGTTCTAAGAGGTCCTCCGCTCCAATTCCCTCTTCGCCTCGCAGCTGCTGCTCGGACCTGCTCCCATCGAACCCTTCCTCTATTCTGGGGACCCCAAGCTTGGGGTTTAGGCATCTAAGTCCCGCTTGAGCCCAGTTTTATTGTTTGTTTGCAGGGTTTGTGGTTCGGGTTTTGTGGACTCAGGGTTTAGTTGTGTGGGGCTTGGGGGGTTGAGGGTGGGTTTCAGGGCTTTGGGGGGGCACCCTGAACCCTGCAACCCTTCACCCGATGAAAGCCTAAACCTTAAACCCTAAACCCGAAGCCCAAACCCTTAAACCCTGAACCCGACAGCCTAAGGTCTGAGGCCGAACCTAGAAGTCTGAAGGAGTTGGGATTGATTAGGGTTTAGGGGTTCAGGGGTTTGAGGTTTCGGGGTTTCTTGTTTTAGGGGTTGTTTGTTTGATTTTTTTGGGGTTTGTTTTTGGGTTTGGGGGTCTGGGGTGTTGGGGTCCGGGGGGTTAAGGTTTCTAAGGGCGGTTATATGGGGTATATAAGGGGTCCCCTTTTTAAGGGCCAAGCGAAGGGACCATGTAACTTCCCTTAAAGGGTTCAGGGTTTCGGGTCAAAATTTTGCGAGCGTGAGGTTTGGACTCTGGCAGACGGAGGAGCTCGTAGTGGACCCCGAGAAGGCCAGGATGAACGGGCTGGCTTCGGTTTGGGGCTTTAGGGCTTTAGGGCTTTAGGGCTTTAGGGTTTAGGGCTTGAAGGGTTATGAAGGGTTTACGGGTTTACGGGTTTGCAGGATTCAACGGGCTTTAACGATGTGGAAGGATGTAGGGGGCTTAAAGGACTTGTTATAGGGTTAAGGGATATTGGGCTTGTTCGCATCGAGAGGGATTGGCCTATGATTGGGCTTTGGGGTTGCACTGAGGGTCATTTGACACTTGCAGCCGTTCTCAGGGACGTTTGGGTTTAGGAGTTTGGAGGCTCTCCTTTTGTGTAGGGGTTTAGGGTCGAGGGCCTGTCGGTGGGAGCGAGGTGGAAAGTCTGATATATAAGTCAAAACCCCAAATCCTAGTCCCAGCGCACTAAACAATACTGAGTGCTGAATCCCAAGACCCCTAAACCCTAAACCTGAACCTTAAAACCCCAAACCCCAAACATTAAATCCTAAACTAATCCTAAACCCTAAAACCATTTGGTCTGTTGCGTGTGGCTCCAGGAGCGTGCGGCGGAGCTCCCGCCGGGCTTTGGCCCCATCCCCACCACCAACAACTATGGCAACATCGAGGCATGCTGTTTAGGAAGTTCCCTAAATTCCCTAAATCCTGAACCCTAAGACCTAAACCCTACACCCTAGACCCAATTTAGGGTTTAGGAAGTTTAGGGGGTCCCTCTGTCCAAGTTCTTTGTTAGATTTTGTGTTTCTTATTATATGTACTGCATGTTATGCCCTTTTTCTTTGGCGTTGAGTTTTTTTTCTCGCGCTTCTTGGCATTTTCCGTCGCCGGCTCCCCTAAAGCCACAAACCCCAAAGCTTCTTCCACCTTCAACCATGTCCTGAAGGGAGGCGGGGTGGGTTTAGGGTTCAGGGTTTAGTTCGTGGAGATTGTCTCACGTACCGCTTCTGGGGTGAAACTGGTTGGGCGTCTATACATTTCGAAGAAAAGCGCAAAGCTTAGCTTATTTGTTTCCATGGCAGGCTCAAACCCCTAAAGCCGCCCAGTTGACAATTACTGTCTGCTGTAGTTTAGTCTCCAAGCGGATGCTTCGAGACACTCCGAGTGACTGCATAAACCCTGAACCCTCAGCGCGAGGTGAAGCATGGCCTGCCAAAAGGGACGGTGCACCTCACGGACGACGCCGTGCGAGCTGCGGCTTGAGAGCAGGGAGGGGTCTCTAGGACCCGGAGTGGGGCGGGCAAGGTCAAAACCCTGAACCGTAGATCCTAAAACCGAAGCCCTAGCCCTAAACCCTAAACCCTAAACCCTAAACCCTATTCCAAGCTCACCCTGGGGCCCAAAAATTGTCGGGATTGGGTTGCAGGGATGTTTGGCTTCTTGGGATGGTCGGGGCTTTGATTGTTGAGGTGTGGGGTGTCGGGAGTTTGGGATGTCAAGTGGTTCATGATTTAGGGGGTTTTGAGGTTCTCGGCATCTATTTTAAGAGTTCGGGGCTTTGGCGCTAGGGTTTAGGCCTTGGTGGTCTTAGGGGCCGTTGGTGCGAGGCTCTTGGGCCCAAAAACTCACAAGCCCAGTCCGCTTCGTAGACTAGGGCTGGGGATTAGGGTTTTAGGGTTTAGGGTTTAGGGTTCAGGGTTTGGGCTTTGGGGTTTAGGGTTTGAATATCCGAGCTCATCAGCCCTGGCACACTTTGGGCATGACATCCTTTTCACACTTTCCATCACATCACCCTAAACTCTAAACTCCAAACCCCGAATCCTAAACCCGAAGCCCTAAACCCCAAGAGACCCTTTTTCTTGCTTCTCTGAGAGGGGCACTTATACTTAGGGTGCCCGAAAAGAGATGCCATACTCTCAAAACCCCCACGCCCCCCAGCTGTCTCTGCATTGCAACGCAGCGCATCACTGCAGGGGGTATCAGGGTTTAGGGTGAGTGCCTAGGCCGGATTCCTCTGAAGATCTGTTCCTGGTGGAATTGGACTGGTCTCTAAGAAGTCATGGTATTAATGGTGGTTATTGCTCCCTTTAAGGTAGAAAGACTCATGATGGTACGGTTTCTAAGTCAAGATGCTACAGAATGAGAGCTCTTTTCACGGTCATCTGTGGTGGATTCCTGGTGTTGGAAGTTAGGGTCTCAAGGTGTGATGGGTGAGAGAGGTGAGTTCACAGTCTCAAGATAGAATCCTTCATGAGGGGCTTTGTGTCACGGCAGTGTTCCCACATCAGCTGCAGATCGATGCCCGCCGTGTCCTGTGCAGCCGGATCTATGCAGAAAGAGGACCCGAACCCAAACCCGTAACTCTGAGGTCGGAAGGCCCAAGCCCTAATCCCGAAACCCTGAAACACCATATCTCTTTAGCTTTCCGATTATTTGCCGAAGAACACCCAAGAACAAAAGACAAGTCCTCTTATAAGGAAGAGCATTTCATGCTTTTGGGTGTCTTGCTTAAGCCAATTGTAGTAATTTGGGTCCCTTGTTATATCACCCTAGTATATATATATATATATTATACATATATAAGGCCCATACTTCGGATCCCTATAGTTTTAGCTCCCCTGATTCCCCAAGGCCGCCTTGAAGCTGGGCGTGGAATTCGCGCCCGCAGTGACTGGATTTCAGAGTGAGCGAGGTGCCCTTCCTTCCCATGATTCTTATTGGTTTAGGCTTTAGGATGTAGTGTTCTGGGTGTCTGCTATTTTGAGTTAAAATTTTCTTTCACTGCATTGCCCGATTGTTTTCACGATTGTTCCCCCAAACCACCCAAACCATGACCTTATCACCCTGACTAAACAATAAACCCAAACCCTAAACTGCTAGTTTTTACTTGTGGATTTCTCTACTCTCCGGACCCCCGCGATCAGAGGTGCTTTCTTCGCTTCGTGTTTCACCGAGACCAAAGGGTGCCTGTTTCCGACAACCCTCCCCACCAACGGCATTTGTTTTACAAGCCCTTACATGGGCCAAACAACCTCAATTTAGAGTTTAGGGTTTAGGGTTGAGGGTTGAGGGTTTAGGGACACAACCCCCAAAACAACCACCCGATTGACCCGTGAACGTTCGACCCCTACCCGCTCTTCCTCGCAGGCGGCTCACTCGTATTACCACAAACCGTCTGCAAACGGGATCATTCAACCTGAGAACCCTGTGCGAGAGACTCGTGTTGAATCCATGGAAAAGGGATGATTGAAGTCACCGGGTTCTGAACAGCATGGGGCTCTGAAACCGAAAGGCCCCAACATCTCCTTGGTGGTGTCGGGTCTAGGGTTGGGGGGTTGCGGGTTTGGGGTTTAGGGTTGCAGGTATGCTGAAGCCGACGATCTCTGGGTGCGTGGTGTGGGAGCGGGACGCCGAGGACGTGCTGCAGGCTGCCGAGGACGGTTTCGGGGTTGTGGGGTGACCCTAAACCCTAAACCCGAAGACCCTCAACCGTTCACAACCCTGTTCCCTAACCCTGAACCAGGGTTTAGGGTTGGTATCGCCAGCCTTAAAGCACAAGAACGGCAGGCCTTTCATTGTGTGCAGGAGGCAGACTCGCGATAGTGGGCCACAGAGAGTGGCCCCTTGTAGCAAGCCCTAAACCCTAATTAAACCCTAACCCTAACCCGCACAACTTGGAGGAGGAGCGACATCGGCTGGAACAAGTGAAAGAGGCCTCCGACCCAAGACTCAGCAAGCCGGCCCTAAACCCTAAAACTTGAGAAGCCCGATTCCTTGAGGGATCTGAGGCTTTGGGAAAAGTTCAAAAGCTCCAAGGGCTTTAAGCGGTGCTTCTTCCCAGGCTGTTCCGTAGCATGCCTTTGCATTCAAGGATACCAATACATGGGGGACCAGTAACAACGATCCTTCTTCATATTGCTGGTTTTTGCTTCTTTGGTGCTTCTTTGGTGCCCTAAACCGTAACGCTAAACTCTAAACTTGGGTTTATCCCAGTGCGCACCTGCTTTGCAGCCTAGAAACTTCAGCTGTTTTCATTGTGCTCAAAGGCTTTGGGGCCTGATCAGGGCTGATAGGGTCTTTCAGGGCTTGGGATTGACTTCCTAAACCCTAAAGCCTAAACCCTAAACCCTAAACCCTAAACCCTAAACCCTAAACCCTAAAGCCTAAAGCCTAAAGCCTAAACCCTGAAGCCTAAAGCCTAAAGCCTAAAGCCTAAAGCCTGAAGCCTAAACCCTAACCCGCAACCCAAGACTTCAGCGGAGGCCCAGAAGCGCGAGCGCTTCAAGGGCGCCTGGCAGCTGCTGGTCAAGCACGTGCTCCTGGACGCTTGGGGGGCCATTCTGGGGGCTAAGGGTTTCGGGGCGTTTGGGGTTTTGAGGATTTTGGGTATTGGGTGTACTGTTAGGGTTGAGAGTTGAGGGCTTTGGGGATTATAGGGGTTTGAGGGTTGTGTTTAGGGTTTTGGGTGTTAGGAATGTCGAGTTGTCGCCGAGCACCCTTCCAAATTGCCTGCCCTGCTATGCACGATGGGCATCTTCCACTCGAGACTCTTGCATATCACATTGCCATACTTTGGCGTTGCAAGTATGAAGCCTGATCAGCTTCTATAACACGCTTGCAAGTGAGCTGAGCTGAGCTCGTTCATGCAAATTTTGTTGCAGCTGCCAATGTTTCAATTCATCTGCATTTGTGTACCTAACCTACTGCTGGTATGCGTTTGGGCCCATACGTGCATGCACCCCGATCTGTCAGAGCGGGAGTTTACTTACCCCTCTAGTATCATTTTGTACAATGAGATGTGGTGAACATGTCCTTGACAACTGACATCGCATGGCTCAACTCTAAGTTGTTGCACTTGTTGGCCCTGAGCTTTCCCTCCTTCTGGTTCCCTTGCAAGTTGAACCTCAAGGGATCAGTCTGGAAAACTTCCATGCCGTATAAATGCCAAGCCTGTGTAAAGCATGAACCCGAAACCCTAAACCATATGAAGCTGAAACCCCCTTTCCCAGGACCTCTACGTGGAGAAGCGCTACGGAAGCCGGAATGGCGCTTGACCTCGACTGGAAGACCCCTGTGCTTGTGAGCCCTTTCGCCCAGAGCCCTGAGTCGTGATGGATGGGTTAGGGTTTGGGTGTTTCGTTTGGCTCTCAGGCTTAGGCTTATGTGGGGGGAAGCTTGGGCTAGAATAGGGCTAAGTTCAGAAGCGGCTTAGGGAAGTTTGGGGTTTAGGGTTTAGGGTTTAGGGTTCTCTGGACACTCACTGCTGGACCTTCCCGTGACTGGAGCTGGTGCGACACACGGAGTTGATGGACGGGCTTCCCGACGGCTACAAGGTCGGATGCTTGCCTGAAACTTAACCTGCAAACCCTTTCACCCTGAAGTCTAAAACCCTGAACCCTAAACCTCAGAAACCCCAGAAGCCCTGTACCATAGGGGCCTTAATTCTTAGAGTAGGGGGAATACTATGAGGGATTATTCCGACCCCTATAGTACCCCAGACCATGGCTAGATCCTAAACCCTAAACCCTAAACCCTCAACCCTCAACCCTGCAGGCATTCGGGCACGCTGGGGTGGCCTTGAAGCCGAGTGGCTTGCGCGCGTGCGCGGTCGGGCCAGCCATGGCTGTGCAAAAGAGGTTCGGTTTGAGGCTTTGGTGGCTTTGGCGTTCAGGGATTCGGGTTTAGGGGTTTAGGTCTGGGGCTTTGGGGTGGGTTTAGGAGTTCACGATTCAGTGATGGTTTTGGAATTGTTTTGCCAGTGGTAAGACTTGCCATGAGGGGGCTGTCAAGACCCACAAGCCCTCAACAGGGCTCGAAATAGTCCAAACCAGAAGCTGCTGCAGCGCCTTTTTCTCCCGAGCCCTAGGGTCTGCTCGGACGCAAGTTGTTTCAGCCCGACCCCCTTGGCCATGGACTTCAACTGGCCCCAACCCTTGCGAGCGCACTGCAGGTGAGTTAGTTTGGGGTTTAGGGGCTAGGGTTTTAGTGTTTTTTTTGGGGTTCTAATGCTCAGTCCTGGGGAATTCTCATGCTCAAACTAGCATTGCGCTTTGCCCGTCCCACCAGCGCGCGAGCATCAATGACGCGCATCTCTTGGCTGCTGTTGTTGGTGTGCCCTGGAACAGTGACTTGGTACCCCCAGTCATACCCTTGTGCCCTTTTGGGAAGAAGTATCTGGAACCAAAGAAGACTAAACCCTAAACCCTAATCCCTCTTGGGGCTACCTCAAGGTGTGTTCCAAGATTCCAGTGGTGTCGCGCAGCGATGGTGCCGAAGCCGCTGGCTCCCTTCTCCGATCCCTGGGATCCTAGGCAGGACCTTGGGATATGTTGTCTAGGTTCCTTCGGGTTTGGGGTTTGGGGGTTTGGGGTTTAGGGTTTAGGGTTTGGGGTTCAGGGTTCCCTTTTTGGCTTTTACGAGGATCTTATGGAGGAATCTGTGTTTCACAGGTCTTTGGAGCCAACGTAGGAGCTGTGCTGATCAAAGCAGGCGGCCAGATTCCAAGCACCAAGGAGTTCGAGACGTTGGCTGTTTCAACCTGGCAACTAGGCCGGCCCTGGGATTTTTTTATTCAAGAGGATCACATGTGGGAATCTTTTTCGAGGGTGTTAAGGGCCATCCCAGGCAAGCAGCGGGGTTCCCGGACCTTGGGATTGGCAACTACAACAAGTTCGGGACGGTCCAGCGCTCAACGATGGGCGAAGGAATCTATGATGTTGCTGCAGGGGCTCCTCCGCACTTGCCAGTCTCACCGCACAGTGAGCAGGCATACCTTCACCAGGTCCCGCGTTTCTGCAGTTTTGTTTGCCAGCGCCCGGCAGATGTTGGTGGTGAGCTGCAACTATTCGACAACGTCGTGCTCGGCGAAGAGCTGGGAGACCTCACAGACAAGCTGGCGAGGCTTGGCGTGACGTACTTCCGCGTCATGGGAGATCAGGTCCGCTCAGCGAACTGGAGCTATGCCACGGGCATGTGGCAAGACAGGTCGCTAGGCAGAACCTTTGGAGGTTGTTCACGACTGGGTTCAGGAGGACCTCATTTCAGAAAATGTTTTTTTTTTTCAGAGGGCTGACAAAGCCCACAAAACCCTAAACCCCAAGCCCCAAACCGTAAACCCCACACCCTAAATCCCAAACCCCAAACCCCAAGCCAAAGAACGGGTCAACCCAGGTTCGCCACGCCCAGCTGGGCTGAGGCAAAGAGCCGGGCCGGCGCCGACGTGGTTATGGGTGGCAGCTGCTTGGTAGCCCAGTGGTACCCTTTTTACAATTTGTTTGTTATGGGCTCCCTTGTACAGCAAGCAACCAAAAAAGAATGCCCTTGTTGTAATATGGTTACTGGGCTACCAAGGCTCAGGAGCACAACTTGGCCCTGGCGAGGAAGGCACTGTTGTGCTACTGGGTGGCTGATAAGGGTTTCTGTTTAGGGTCTTGAGTTAGGGCTTAGGATCTTGAATTAGGTTCGGGTTTGGGGGTTCAGGGCTATCTATCAGGTTTCCCTTGGGTCGCGTTCGGGAACTTCCATTTGCGTAACCATAGCCAGGAGGCATCTTACATCCCAAGACCAAAAGTTTCGGGCTCCGTGACTTCTGACCTAGGGTTTAGGGTTTAGGGTTCAGGGTTAGGGTTGGGTTTTGGGATGTTGAAGGCCGATGCAGAGTAGCGGAGTTCACGGAAGTGATTTGTGACATGATTCTTCGTGCGGGGCATGGTCCAAGTTCTAGTACTCACGTTTTGTGTGACATTATGATAGCTTATATATTTCAAGTTCTTGACAGCCGTCGAGGCTAAACTGGACCGTTCCAGCAGTGACCTGGGTAACCGTGTCTTCCGACACTTGCAGCTCGGGTGTGAAGCCTGTACGGGCTGTGCTGCAATCCATCCTGGATAATCACAAGTCTGTTTCTAGGTCCTTGGCTTTAGCAACATTGTCAATGTTCCTCTATTTCCTTCATTGGGTTTACGCGTATGGTCTTGAGCAGCCTGTTTCGCAGAGGGAGCTAAGCGCCCCAGACCCTAAATGACACGAAACCCTTAAACTCAAAAGGAACGTTCACCCGAAACCCGAAACCCTAAACCCTAAGCCCTAAACCCTGAAACCCTAAGCCCCTAAAACCCTTGACCCAAAAACACAAACCCAAACCCAGGTTAACTATGGCACGGGCATTCCGGCCTTGCATTCGACTTGGGGGGACGGCACAGATTTCGACGACTCCCGGTTGCTGTTTGGAACCTCAACTAAGGTTTAGGGTGAAGTGTTTAGGGTTAAGGAGTGAAGGAATCTTAAACCTTAAGTGTAAGTTCCCGCATCATGGATGTGCGGTGAACAATGTGGGGCTTCCTTCCTCCGCCAACTTCACTGAAAATCCCCAAACCGCATAACCTATCTCCCTAAACCTAGACCGCACACAACAAACCCTAAACCCTAAAAACCCCAAAAACCCTAAAAACGAAGTTCAGTTCCACAACCGCAACCCAAGGACTGGGAGCTTGAGGTGTTGCGGAAGGCAGTCGCGAAATCACTCTGGGCTTCCATGAAGTTGGAGGAAGGAGATGCTACTTGCTCTTACCGGGCTAGGATATTGGGAGGTTTGGAGTGTAGGGTAGAGGGGGCGAGACTAGGACATGGGGAGGTTTAGAGTTTAGGAGGGCTAGGATCTTGGGAGGTGTAGAGTTGATGAATTTTAGGGTTGGGTCCATAGGATTAGAAGCTACAAGCAATTTGGATGGTGCCTCTGTCAAGCTTAGTATCTCGCCACTTGTGGATCTTGGCACTAAGGTGGTGGTTGTGGATAACTGGCATTACGCTCATGGACGGCACATGGGCAGCACATGCTGGTTGACAAGCTTAGGGTTCGGAACATTCGGATTTTTCTTTCTACGTAGCTGCTTTTCCGATTTACGAGGTACTTCGAAACTTTTGCTGGTTCCTGTGTTATGGCCACCACGTCTGTCACGGGTGCCGAGGTCTCCATACGAAGGGCAGCGAAAGCACGCAGCCTTGATCAGCGACCGGTTTCCACGCGCATGATCCCCGCGCAAATCCAACGCATCTGGGCAACGATCTGAGTCAAGGCATCCGGGGAGCCCAATACTGAGAGCTCAGGGCTTTGCATGGTTTAAGGGTTTACTTGATGTAAAACAACTTCTGATTCTGAGGTAGGGTACTACATAGAGATAGCCAGGGGTATTGGGCTCTCTCTGCTCTCAGTCACCCTCTTAGGGTTGCAAAGACAGCACGACCTTACTGGCTCTTAATAAGGCACCAGGGAACTAGTTACTTCATAGTCACGTTTTGAACCCTTTAAGGGACTACAACTTACAAACTTACAAAGTGTACCTAGTTCCCTTCTTCCCCAATAAGAACCAGTAAGTCGCCAAATACCAGTCTGGCAGCTCGCAAGTTTTGCTGCCGGCCTTTGGCACAGCCGCGCCTACTCCCCCCCCGTGGCAGTTCCATCGGAAATCGGGGTGCTGAATTTCCGCTCGGAATCGCGAGCACTTAGTTTTGGGATGTCTTCCAGGCCATGCTACACCTTGGTAGCCCAGTTCTGCCCTTTTGTCCTTTTTAGGTTCCGCTATAAAGAAACCGACCCAAAAAAGCGTACCTTTATTATCATCTGGTTCCTGGGCTACTAAGACCCTGCATGGCCACTGCACAGAAAACCCTTTAGCCCTTTAGCCCTTTAGTTGAGCCTGCTCGCCTGGCACCGGTCCAGCTCTGCGAATTCTGCGGCAGCTCGCATGGCGTCCGCGTGGAAATGGTTTCCGAGCAATCTTTCGCCCTCGTCCGAAAAGTCGGTGCCATTCTAAAATTATGCCACTTCGGACACAGACCCTGCGCGCCCATGCATTCTTCATGTCGATGCTTCCAAGTCCCTTGCTGCGTCTGGTCCTAGACCGGCTACTGGCGTTGGCACTCAACTGGGCTGGATCGCTGTGGACGGGCAGATTTTGATTTAGGGTCAGAGGGGTAAAGAACTCCACCAAGACCTCCGTGAAGGTTCTTCTGCTACCGCTCTCTTTGCTGTTGCCAAAAAAAACATACTAGTCACCTGGAACGTTTAGGTGAGTTTGGGCAAATTGATACCAACCCTACACCCTAAACCCTCGACCCTGAGCCAATACCGTACTTTAAACCCTAAACAAACCCCCACCCGCCCACGCACTCTCTCGCCACCAAAAGACAACCGCTCCCGTCCGAGAGGGGCTCCAGCTGAACGCATCTTACCTCCACCTAAGTAAGCTGCAGTGGGCTCAAGGGTTCAGGTACAAGGTTTGACACACCTCTAAACCCCAAACCCTAAGACCCTACGCGCTAAGCTCGAATTCCCAAGCGCGTGTTCTAGGTGCAGTAGGAGGCATTCTGACGGGGCGTCTCCGGTTCGGGAAAGCCATGGCGAACTTCCTGGGCCGGCTTCTGAGCTGTCAGTGGCTTCACCGGCTTGGTGGTTAAGGATTGGGGGTCAGGGTAACCGGAAGCTGAAGGTGTCCTCTGCAATACGTGCAGAGAGAATGGCACCACGCCGTGGGAGAGGTGCTTCATGTCCATGGCTCCTTGGGCGGTTTCAAGGGTTCAGGGTTTAGGGCTTAGGGCTTACGGGGGTTGTGGGGAGCTTAGCGGGCTTTGGGTTTAGAGCCGTAGTAGCAGAGGAAGCAGGTTAAGGGCTTAAGGTTGCAGAGGCTTTCTTTGTGGAGGGTTTGGGGATTCTGATGGACTTGTCTCCCTACCCCTCCTCCGCCTCCTCCTCCTTCTCCTCCTCCTCCGCCCCCCCCTTCCTCCCCCCCCCCCCCGATCCGCCAAGCTTCTAACCAGATCAGTATGTTGGGGGACAGCTTCAAGAGGGGGGCTTCGCAGGCTTTCAGGATTCTAAATCCGCAATGGGTTGTACCCAGGAATCTCCATGCCAGTTCCCAAAGCTCGCCCCCCGGAAAATCTAAGACTAAAGAAGCAGCAGGGAATGTTTGGGGGTACCCCTTTTGGGGGACAGGTTTGGGAGGGAGGCCTTTGTTTTTAGGTTCAGAGGTTGTTTAGGGGCTTAGGGGCTTAGGGTTAAGGGTTTTATGGTTTAAGGTTTAAAGGTTTAGGATTTAAGGTTCAGGGTTTAAGGTTTAGGGCCTAGGGTGGTTCGGCATTCTCAACCCACAGCCCATGCGCTTTGCAAAGGAGGGTGGTACAAAGGCTGCTTGGACAATCTGGGCCCGAAACCCTACACCCTAAACCCTGGCGGGTCCACAAGAGACCCGCGGGAAAGTGTGGCCCCAGCAGCAAACCTCATGGTGTGGACTTAGGTCGGAGCTGTTAGTTTGCAGACTTGTCGTCTTTCCACGGCCCCGCACGCACGTCCTCAGCACCAGTTCTGGTGAGCAAAATGCTTCTCGCATAAGAACTTTCCCAGCAGCCGCATCAGTGAAAGCATGTTGCCTTCGTGATGGTACCGCAAAACGAACTGGAAGACATAACTCATAAGCTCGGGATTCGCCTGAGGCGGAGAGCCTGGCACGGACTTGGCCAGCATGGCGGGCATGCATTCCTGGAGCTGTTTCCAGAAATTATCTATGGAGCCAGAATGTGCTTGTATGGCAGGTTTCCTGCGCCTTCGGAACATCTTTCGCCACACCCCGGCACCGTGGGAAACGTGGTAATGTGGCACACCTAATGAGTCGGCGACGGAGGGGTAAACCCGAGCCCCGTCGGAAACCAGAGCGTCGCACTTGGCAGTGTTGATGCTTTGCAGGCCACCACATGCACGCACTCGCACCAAGTCTTCCACGGGGGTAACAGCTCGAGGAGAGGTGTTGGCCAAGGACAGCGGAAAAACGTGTACACGAAGTCCGTTGCCGGCGTCATCCGGTCTCTGTGCCAAGCCGAAGATTTGAACGTGGTATCTGCGCTGGCCACGCACAAAACTTCCCAGGGATGTTGCGTCCACCTCGACTATTCCCGTCAGTGACCGCTTTTTCTGCTGAGACCGAGCACAGTCTGCTTCCACGCAGCGCATCTCCTGATTGTGGAAGATTAAAAGAGTGTGGGGTTTGGACTTAAGATTCAAGGGGTCAGGGTTTAGGGTTTATGGTTGAGGGGTTAAGGCATTAGGGTTAGGGTTTCGGGAGATTAGGGGGATGAGCAAGTCTTGTGGGGTATCCCAAAAGAAATTCGCAAAGTCGAGACTCCTGCAGGATCTTCCGAGTCAGCTTGGAACTGTTTGCCCACTTGCAACCCAGGCTTTTGCAAAGTGTGTGGTAAGCAGGCGCCCGTCCATGTCGCTCAGGATGAATGGAGTAAACGGTCTGCAGGATCAGGAGAAGCTGCTGCAGATTCAGTCCACGGTAAGTGCCCTTCAAGAACGTAAACTGCAAGCAGGACCACCACCTGTGACAAGCTCGGGCTCGGCAACGAAAAAAGGCTGTTGTGCCAAGACTGTTTGTGCAGCGCTCCGTGAGAGCCGACATCTTGGAGAGACACTCTGGACACTTCTTCGGTTTCTTTGCCCATCCCAATGAGCAAAGCTTCTGAAAGGCAAGCCTCTCGTTCTGAAAATTGGCACTGTCCAATTCCCGCAACTGGTCAGTGCAGCCCTGCAGATATTTGGTGGCTTGTCTTCGTACACGTCGACATTCTTGCCGCTGAACTCTGGCTTTGTTGAGTTTCTTGGCACTTGCTTTCTGTCGTTGTCGCTTGGTCTTGTTCTGAATGTTGGTCCCGATGAGCTTGGCGCGTCTCTTTCCGTTGCCATGAATGCCCTCCATGCCCTGAACATTGCAGCCTTGGTTCCCTTGAGAAGCATCTTTGACAAAGCTGCTGATTGCTTTGCTAGCGTGTCTTCGCTTGATCAAAGAAAGCATCTGAGCAGCAAGCTGAGAGCAGGATTCCACTCTGTGACCGCCATGGCCGCAGTGCGAGCATACTCTTTTGCCTCCGCCCCCCCTGACGGGCGTTGGCATCCTAAGAACTAAGCAGCCGCAAGGCTATGGCACAGATATTTGAGGGTTTAAGGTCGAGGATTCTGGGTTTAAGGTTCAGGGTTTCCACAAGAGCGTTTTGAATGTGTAATCGCACGACATGTAAGAGCGTCTTTATGCAAGCCGGCAAAGCGAAGCCCCACGCTGTGCTGCTAATCCCCAGTGCCAGTTGCGTTTCGCAAAATGGCAGACCTAATGTCTTTGTAACAATCCTGAGTCCATTTCGGCATGTCCTGCAGGCGCTCACGTGGGCATGGAACACTGTGAAAGCAGGTGCGACGCCCTGATGCATCCTTCACCCAGAACTTCTGGCAAACGAAGTGGCAGCGGCCTCCGTGTCGGCCAGATTGGTACACATAGGGTTGCCGGGCAACTCTATGATGAGGGCACACGCCGTACTTGAAGAACCGCTTGCCTATCTTGCAAGATTCCTGAGGCGGCGGAGAAGGAGCCACAACGGAAGTGAGCACAGCTGACAGCGGCGTGGTGTGCGGGGCATTGTTCTGACGGTCCACAGGCTGCATAGCTTGCACTGGAGAGCAGACCTCTTCCGTGTCCGAAATCTCGAGATGCGCAGAGGGTATCTCCTCGTCGTCGGACAAGTCAAGCACGCCATCGGTTTTGTCTAGAGGAAGCAGACGCACTCGCAAAATGGAGCTGTGATCCTCTGTCCATGTCAACTCAGCTCCAGAAAGACTGGTCCACGTTTCTGCTGCTGCTTGACAGTCAAACTCAGACCAGCCGCATCTGCCTGCGAGAGTCAGAACTTCTGCCCAAGGAAGCCAGGCCCCTACCGGGGCCATGGAGTGAACCCCAACCCGCCAGCTGTCGCATCGCTGGTTTGTAAGAGCACGCCTATCCATTGCGGCAAGGACGCAAGTGTAACAGTAAAGCTCACAGACCAAACTTGTGAACATCCTGTGTCTTTGGGAAGCAAGAAGGCTTCTCTTCTATCAAGTACTGCGAGCAAGAGCTATTACGATGTCAGAAGTGTTTCAGGCAAAGAGACATGTTATGTGGACTCAGGCCTGGGCAGAAGTGGATGCAGGAGAGGTCTTAGTTTAGGACGCGTCTTAAGTTGGAAGAAGTGCAAAAAACCCCACAAATACCAGTGTAGTCTACGGATGCTTGTAAAAAATGCAGGACAAATTTAGATAAAAAGTGAGGGCATGAGGCAATGGTGGAAACCCAGGAAACATCGGTATTTACAGGGGTTTGTGAGGGCAACAGAGCGGAACTACCTAAAAAGCGTGGGTCTGTTATGGCCCCGCCTAGCCCTAAACCCTACGCCCTGGACCCTTGGCAAGTATACTAGACCTTGCAGGGGACTCGCATACAACATGCAGTGTCGAAGGGCTTGCAGACAGCTCTCCAAGCCCAAAAGCGAGGGCATGCTCAATGTAGTAAAAGCTGTTTTGCTTGCGAACCCTAAAAGCTCTAAACTCTAAACTCTAAACCCTAAGCCCTAACTCCTCACCCCTCAACCCTCAACCCTCAACCCTCAACCCTCAACCCTCAACCCTCAACCCTCAACCCTCAACCCTCAACCCTCAACCCTCAACCCTCAACCCTAAACCCTACACCCTCAACCCTCAACCCTAAACCCTACACCCTAAACCCTCAACCCTAAACCCTGAGCCAGCACCCAAAACGGTCCCACACTCCGACATGAGCAAGTAGGAGCTTTAGGGCTTGGGGCCTAACCCCTAAACCCTAAACCCTCAACCCTAAACCCTAAGCCCAAAACCCTAAGCCCTAAACCCTAAACCCTAAACCCTAACCCCAACGCTAAACCTTGGGGTTTAGGGTTCAAGGTATAAGGGTTGGGCTGGCTGTAGCTTTCTTAGAGTTTAGGACTTTTCTGATCGTGTAGCGTCCACTTAGGATTGCATCTCCATGGTCGCAGAGCTTCTGCCACACGAGCCGGACTTCACGATGGAGCAGGCAGGAATCTAAATCTTGGAGCCCCCTTTGACCCTTACCAAATCCCACCATAAGGCAACCGTAAAACCCCTACACCCAACTGAGCCCAAACAAACCCAACGAAACCTAACTAAACCCAAACAACCCCAACTAACTAAACCCAATTTCAACCCAACCAAGCCTCGCTACTTCCCCCCCCCCTCTCCCCTTCTAGTTTCAGGTGAAGGCTAGCGTGGAGCTAGCCGTGGCCGAGCATCCGCGCCTACGGGAGGTCCTCTCGGACTGCGGCCTCTGGGAGGACAGGGTTTTGAGGGCATTTTTGGGCTATCAATATTACGGCTTTTCGGACCTCAAACAGTTCCGAATTTGGGAGCTTAGGGTTATCTGATGGGCACTTTCAAGGCATATGCAAGATTATGCAAGCTGCTTGACCAAAGCGTGTTCGCTAGTTCTCCTTTGCTTCCTGCAAGGTACTGCCTGGCGCTTGAACCACACCCTACACCCTAAAAGCCCTAAACCCCAAACCCGAAAACTCGACAGCTGCCGGTGCTGCACTTCGTGTTACGAGTTGTTCTGGCGAAGGGTTCAGGGTTCAGGGTTCAGGGTTCAGGGCTGGGTTCAGGAGGCCAATGTGTTGGGCCGCTCCCTAGCACTTTTGGAGGTCAGGCTTTGGGTTGCGCAAGGCTTCGGAAGGCACCGCAAGCAGCGACCGTTCCCCACATTCACTCGGAAGTTCCCTCAGCGACGCGCCCCAAGTCCTAACCTCTAAGACACCAAAGGTTCAGTCCTACGAGGACAGGTTAGGTTTGTATGGATACGATCTCGGATGACCAAACCCTACAGCAGACCTTAAGCCCAAAACCCTAAACCCAAAGCCCTAAACCATACATCCGACCTGGGCACGTCCCATCGTCCTCGGTCCTGAAGCTTTGAGATGGGTTTCGAGTTTACGCTCATCCCTAAACTCCTAAGTCCTAAAGCCCGAAAAGCCCTTAAATCCCTAAACGCTAAACCCTCAACGCCTGCAAGCTCTAGGAAGTAGAGCTGGACCTCGAGACCCACCTGCGCTGGATTCGCGATGTTGGCGAGGCTAAGGTGCGGTCCAGACGGGTGCTTCGGGCGGTTTGGGCGGTTTAGGGTTGGGGGGTTTGGGGGTTCAGGGTTTGAAGGGGAAATTTGTAAGTCTGCCCTCCCCACTCTGCATTTCTTCGTATCGACACCCTGATGCTAGTTCCCCAAAGGCCCTGTAAGCCTTACAAGCACTAAACCCCAAAACCCCAAACTCCACACCCTAAACCCTAGACCCTAAACCCTGAACCCACCTCTGGGAGACTTGAGGCTCTAGATGTCGATGTCCGGGGGTAGCTTAATACCCAAAGTATGCCAAGCACTAGTGCCTGTAGGAGTTGGAGCTTAAACCCTGAACGCACCTAAGCCCGTAACCCATAGCCGTTCAACCCTTTAAACCCCAAACCCCAAACCCCAAACCCTAAACCCGAAACCCCAAGCCCTGAACGACAATAGCCTTGTGCTCGCAGGGCCGGGAGGAAGATCCAGAAATCGTACGCGCGATGCACAGCATGCCTGCATTCGATGATGCCACTGCCAGGACCGCAGTTTATGGGGTTGAGGGGTTTAAGGGGCTTAGGGTTGAGGCCCTAAGCACCCGAACCCCCTAAAGCCTTGAAACGCCTCAACTTACGTTCGCCAGGACGCCCCGCTGGCAAGTCATCGCGACACCGCGGAAGATGTGCAGACCTCAGCTCCGGGCCAACGTAACGTAAGCTATGATAGAAACAGCTTGTTCTTGGCGAGAGCAGATATGGCTCCTTAATTATAAGTATTGCTGAGCCTTCCGACATCTTCTGACCCAAAGCATAAACCCTGAACCTCGGGATTGGAGCCTTCGGGGTCTTACCTTCGGAGCTGTAGCGACTGCTGAAGCCTGATTCCTACTTGGCCTCTTCAGGGGCCCACTTTATGAGCTTAGGATTTAGGGCTTTGGGGTTGAGTGCCCCCATTCTAGAGTCCTAGAGGTTCCATCTGAGCGGGCCGTACTTTAGAACCTCTGCCAGATCCTGAGCCCAATGCCCGAAACCCAGAACCCAAAACCCTAAACACGGGACCTCAAATATCCAAGCTGAGGATTTTCCACGTGCACCATGCCGCGGTCGATGGTGTGGGCATTGCCGTCATCACCAGCACCCTTCTCCTCGGCAAGAGCTTGGGATCGTGTTTGGCGCCAAAGCCCTTTCAACCCTGAAAGTCCTTCGCCTCAGTTCCTCAAAGACTTCATAGGAGAGAGCAAGAAAACAACCTGGAAGGGCCAAGCCCGAAAATTCCAAAACCCTCAAGTCGGACCCCTAACCCTTAAATCCACCTAAACTCTGCAACCCTAAAACTCCAAAAACCCCTCATACATGCCCAGGCCGGAAAAACACCAAAACCGCCCAAACCCCTAAGCCCTCTAACCTAAAAGGGCCTAGGGGTTTTAGGGATTGAGGTTTAGGGAAAGATTCAAATAATCAGCATCTTAAGCCCCTGAATTCGGTGCGCGCAGAAGGGGAGTGTAAGGTTTGGGGTTTACAGGATCCTGCCCCGCCAACCAGAACAAGCTTTCGCCGCTAGACCGTTAGTAGGGCTCCAATTCAAACCCTAAACCATAAGCCTGAAGCCTGCAACCCTGAAAACCCCCAAATCCCTAAACCAAACCCCTACACCGAAACCCCTAAACCCCTAAACCGAAACCACCAAACCCCTAAGCCCAAGTCAGGAACTTGAAAGAGACCGTCCAGGCCATGATCCCCGTCAGCGGGCAAAGTAGGAACAAGCTGAGACCCGCTGATCCTGGCTGCTTGGGCAGCTGCTGCGAAGGCCACGAAATGGGCCTAAATCATAAAACCCCTAATCCCCAAGAAACAGACCTATACCCTGAACCCTGACCCCTAAACCCCTGAACCCTAACACCATGAAAAAGTCCTCTTGTAGGGTCGGTTCGTGAGCTGGTTCGACAGTGTGCAGCACTTGTGTGCATCAGGCTTACGAAGGGCGTCGAGTGACCCTAAAAAGAGACCTAGGAATATAAAGGAGCCATTTGAGGCATATCCTGATTGTGAGCCTATATGCCTTATGGGATATGCAGGGTAGAGTAGACCCTTAACCAGAATCCTTTGCCAGGTGTCACCACCGTCCGCAGCTGTGCCCGGCACGTGAACTTGCCCTTCCAGGGCTTGCTTTTTCCCACCCCGAGATCGCCGATCTCTACGCCGACATCTGGGGCCCAGCCGTCGCACATACGCCATTTCCATCTCGGCCCGTTCTTTGGCTGGATAGGGGGTGGGCTGAGGGTTCGGCAGGTTCTGGGCTTTGTGATTTTCCCCATCCTATTTAGGACTCTACTTCTTCAAGTGCTTGAAAGATTCCGCTTTGTTTCCAAGTCGCTGCCTGCAGCATGTTCTGGAAGACCCTAAAATCCCACTTGTAGATAGTGCTTACGGTAGGATAATTGCCTTACAAAGGTCCTCCAAAAAAGGGAACGTACTTCACAACCCGAGGTATTCGCTGACTGCAATCCGAAGCGCCGCCCACGAGAGCGGCGTTACGGTGAACAGCGTGCTTCTTCGCCACCTGACTGCTGGCCTGCAGCAGTACTGCGAGTCTCAAGGGGACGCAAAGATCTCCACCTTCAACGTGGCCATCCCCATCAGTTTTAAGGCCCCCGACTTGGAGAGGCCAGAGCAAATGAAAGCCAACAATAACTTCAGCACACTGTGCCTGAGCTGCTGAGTGGTTTCTCTTCTACTTACTACTTACTACTTGCTATGTTCCTCTTCACATGTAGCTGTGCCAACAAGCAAGCACCTCTAATTCCCCGATGCCCTAACATCCCTAACAAGCAAAACCCAACAATCCCAAAGCCCTTAAAACCCTAACATCTCCTTGACCAAAGCCCCAAAAACTCCAATTCCCCAACCCCCTTACAATCCTAAAACCTTCTTCGAAGCAGCGCTACCAACAACCCTTTGCAGCCCAAAACCCGAAACCCTAAACCCCAAACCCGAAACCCGAAGCCCCAAACCCTATCCCCTAAACCCTGCAAACTGCCTCCTTCCGCAGCCCAGGGTCTTAAGGGTGCCGCAGCCGTCGATTCCGAACGCCTCCGCCGACGCAGAGGCGCTCGTGGACTTGCCGGGCTATGTGGACCCGAAGGAGTGGTCCATGGGCGCCTAGGGCCCATGTATGGGTTTGGGGGGTTTAGGGTTGAGGGTTTGGGGTTCGAGGTTTTGGCTTTGGGATTTGGGGTGTTGGGGATTGGGGTTTGGGGTTTGGGGTTTGGGGTTCATGGGTTAGGGTTTGGGGTTCAAGGTTTCGGGACTAGGTCTTTTTGTTTTTGTTTGTTGTTCTTTTTTGTTTGGGGGGGGGGTCGGGGTCCATGGGCATTTTTCGGGGAGGGGTCCGAAATTTATTTCTTACCACGGCGGAGGGGCGGGGGGTGGATAGGGTTTAGGGTTTAATTAGGCTTGACCTTAAGCCCTTCAAAACCCTTCAACCCTTAAACCCTACGTAGACTTTAAACCCTTAGACTCAGACCCTACACGCTAAACCGTAAACTCTTGGAAGCCAAAGCCCCTGAACCTAAGCCATCAACCCTAGCCCCGCTTGTTGTCGACCGAAGGCAATGCTGTTGGCGCCTGGGCGGCTCAAGGGATGCTCTCGCTTCTGCCGATGATGGTGGCAGCTCGGCTTCGGTGTCAGGGTTTCGGGTGTAGGGTTTAGGGGTTAGGGTTTAGGGTTTGGGGTTTGTGTTGGGTTCCCTATAGAATCTAAAGCAGAGGTTTCGGGGTTTAATGAGTGGGATTAAGGCGGTTCAGGTGGGGGTCTAGGGACATGTCCAGGGAGAGCGTTTTTAGGGTCTAGGGTCTTTGGTGTTTTTTTGTTTTGGGGGGTGGGGAGGGGAGGAGGTGGGGCGAGAACACGTCGCTGTTTGCTGCCAGGGTTGCTGAAACGAATTTTGAGTTCGAGCATTAGAGACCCTGAGCCCTAAACCCAAAACTCTGAATTTTATTGAACCCGCAGAGCCGCCAAGGTCAATCGACTACTCTGGTGGACCAGTCGGCCACACGCCGGGACGTTAACCCTAGATCCCGAAACCCTAACACCCTAAACCCTAAACCCGAGCCCTAAAGCCGAGGGTTTCGGAGGTCAGGGCCTCGACCTTCAACACTAAGCTCAAACCCCCAAACCCCATACCCTAAACCCTGCCTCCACACCTCAATGCAGCCCTACATAGCCCTACATCCTAAAGCCCTAAAGCTCGGTAGGCCCGGTAACCCACAAGCTCCAAAGCCCGAACGCCCAAAGCTACTACACTCCTACACCCCCAAAAAGCCACAAAGCCTCAACATCCTAAACCCCAGGTGCGTAGCTAGTAGCTAAGCAATAGTTTGCACAGAGAGCCCTCAACCCTATGCCCTAAGACTTGTAAGCCTGCACTCTTAAGCCCTAAGCCCTAGACCCTAAACCCTACACCCCAAACCATAACCCTAAGCCCCAAACCCTAAAGCTGGAGGTTGGTCCACTTCGCCTTCTCCAACGTGAATGGGTCGATGTTCGGGCCGAAATTCAGGCGCATTTAGGGATTAGGGTTCAGGAATTCGGGTTTACCGTTTGCTCTAAAAGGAGGAAAAACCTTTCGGGTTTGGAGATTGTTGTGTGCCAAGGCTCCCCAAGACTGAGGCCGACCAGGAGCCATTAGGGTCAATTCGGGCATCTTGGGCTGTCACGGAAGCTCACGTGGTCAGGGTTTAGGGTTTAGGGTTTAGGGCTTAGGGTTTTGGGGGTTAGGGCTTAGGGTTTATTTTTGGGTTAGGGTTTAGGGTTTGGATGGATTTCCTTGGGAGGGGATCCTTCTGCTTGTTTTTGGCAACCCTAAACCCTAAACCCGGAACCTTAGGATTTCAAAAGGGGTTCCAGGTTCGAAGAGGTTTTGAGTTTCAGGGCTCAGGGGTTCAGAGCGTTATGGCTCAGCAGGCCCTAAACCTGAAACCTTCTACAACGTTAGCCACAAACGCCCTAAACCCTGAATCCGGAACCTTGAACCCTGACCCGGCCTGACCCCGCCAAAGCCAACATGGACCCTCGACCCGGGATTCCAAAGCAACATTGTCACATGCCCCCTGAATGGAGGTGTCCACTCACTGGGACGGAGAAGGAGGTCAAGGTGGCGAGTGACCGAGTGAATAGGGTTTAAGGGTTGAGGAGCCCTGAGCCCGAAACACACCTACACAGACCTCTCGACTCGACCCTGAACCCGCCACTAAATCCGGTTTAATTAGGGTTTGGGGATCAGGGATCAGGGTTTCGGGTATATGCATAGTAGGATTTGGGCGGGTCGTGTGGCGCAGGAAGCCATGTCAAGGCAGGTTGAGCAGGCTTTCTGCGTGCACACCCCACATGTGGTTGGCGGCTTGTGTGCGCGGAATGCGTACAAAACACTTAGCCCTTTAGCCCTCTAGCCCTTGAGCCCTTGAGCCCTTTAGCTCTTAGCCCTTTATTCCTTGAGCATCCTTGAGCCCTTGAGCCCTTGAGCCCTTGAGCCCTTGAGCCCCTTTGGCCCTTCAGCCCTTGCCCTGTGGCCCTTCAGCCCCGGAGCCGTTTAGCCCTTTCGCCCCAAACCCTAAGACCTGAACCCACCTGAAAAAGGTCTATGCCTATGGCAGCCTGAACTGCGGAAACCGCCTTTTCATCCTCGCCAACTCACACGGCATGGACCTCCACGTCAGCATCGTGATGGACAGCTCGATCTGGGTTCAAAAGGTATAAGCCCTAAACCCTATACCCTGTGGCAAGTTGGGGGTTTACGAAAATAATGTTAACCTAGTATTACTAAAGCCCCTAACATTAAAGTACGCCAGGTGTCCCGGCCGCAATAATAAAGCCCTGGAAATAAAGTACGCCAGTCGGGGCTTGTTTTTTTGGGGGGGGTCCGTTTTTCCTTTCTGATCCTCTCTGATTCTCCCTGATCCTCTCTAATTCTCTCTAAGGAAAGGAATCCTTATTCAAAGGGGCCTCACTCTATTTGGGGGGGTTTGATTGAAGGGGGGGGGGGTTTATTATTACTAGGTCAACATTAGGGGACCCCCAATATAGATCCCCAAATAGTAGGATCCGCTTTTAGTAAGGACCCCGATAAGGTACCCCTAAACTTAAACCCCAAACCCTGTCTAAACCCTAACCCTACTTGTTTCACGGCTCAGGGTTTTGCCGTTGGCGATTTTTGCTTTTGGGGTTTTGAGAGTCTTCGAAACTTTGCCTAAGTGTTTGAGGGATCTGAAGCTGTATGTAAGGGTTCGGGATGTAGAGTCTGGGCTGTACCCTAACCCTAAACCCTAAACCTTAAACCCTAGAAGGTTACGGGTGCTGCCCAAGAGTATATAACAAGCCTATAAGCCCTTTACCCCAAACCCTAAACATTCCAAATCAAAGCGTGCCCTCAATACCCTCAGCCCTAAACCCTAAACCCGAAATCCCAGAGGATGGCGAGCTGGTCCGAGCTCCATCAGACTTGGTCGGCTTCGTCGACCAGCAGCTGCAGCAAGTTGGGGCCTGAAATGGATGAGGCTTTTGGGGGCTTAGCGTTAGGGTTTAGGACCTAGACCTAAACTTTAGGTCCTAAACCCCTAAGCTTTAGGTTTTAGGGTTTAGGGACCTAGGGATTTAGGGGTTTAGGGGAACTGGGGATTTAATATGGGGGTCGGGATATTTACAGATAGTATTCTCTTATGGTCCTTCTATACAATAGCCCCCAAAACCCCCCATTCGAATTTTTAAGGCCCCTGTAACCCTAAACCCTAAACCCCACATGACACATGGGCCCTATTTTTTTCGGTGTTTAGGGGATTGAGGGCCCGGTCTTTTGTGGAAGGCGTAAAACCTGGGACGAATGCTTCAGGCCAGAGGCCTGAGGCTCCCTGGAGGCCGGGGATTGGGGATTAGGGTTTGGGGTTTAGGGTTTAGGGTCCAGGGTTCAGGGTTCAGGGTTTAGGGTTTAGGGCTTCGGGTTTAGAGTTCAGGGGACAAGGGAGATGCGGCGGCGCACTTGTGTTTTTCCTCGGCCCGTCCAGGGGCTGCTTCAAAAGTTTTAATGTAGGGCTCTGGGCGAGACATGCCAGTAGACTGCAGGAGGCCTTTGTTCAATGCTCGCCTTCTGTCGCATTCTGCGACTGCTGCACAGATGCTATGCCGACGCGCCAGCCTGAAAGACGTCGAAAACAAGATGCCTTTCCAACCACTCGAAAGCCTTAATCCACTTTGGGACTTTTAGGATTCAACACGAGCCGACTTCTAATAATCCAAGGAAGTCATATTTAGCTGTTGTCCTGCACATATGGCAGAGATTTGCAGTTTTGAATATACAGACTAACACGATCAGAACATAGGTTTAACAGGAGACGATCTGCAAAGACAACGTTGCATTTTCACCATCATCGTTGCTTCACATCTGACTGCTCCAATAGACTCGGATTTGAGAATGCGTGCGGAAGCCAGATGAGAAGGGCCGGAGTGCCGGCCTAAGCATGCCTTTAGCAAGCGCTTGCATAGCGCCATCGGGCTTGTAGAGTTTCCAACAGCATCCGCAAACTTTGCCATACCCTAAACCCTAAACCCTACATAAACCCTAAACCCGAAGCCCTAAACCCTAAACCCTAAACACCCTAAGCCCCAGTTGCATGAGACCCCAAGCAGCGACGACATGGCTGTGCAACTGTACAGTAGGCCTTGAGATTGTACTTTCGCAACCTTTTTGCCGTCATGGATGCCGCTTCACAGCATGACGAGGCAGGCTGAGGCAGCCCCCCTACCCACCCTAATCCTTAAACCCTTCACTGAATAAGGAGCTTCTTTTGTTGAGGAGGAGGAGGAAGAAGAAGAAGAGGAATAAACCCCAATTCCACCCAACCCACCCTTGGTCCTCCACAGGTGTCTGTGTGGCGTGGCGTCCTCCGCCGCGGCTTGTGCAGCAGGCGCGGCTTACCTTCTTCCTATTCTTACTGCTCAGGTGGGTAGCTTCCCATGATTGTATGAGGCTGTTCAGAGGCTGACGTACCCCACGCTATATAAGCCATAAACCATAACACAGCCTAAACCCTAAACCCTAAGCCCTTAACCCTTGTAAGCCCAAGCCCGAGCATTGCAGCCCTATGGTGCGTGCCAGGGCAGGGCGGGTCTCCGCCAACAGCCGGCGCCAGCAGACGTCCACAGGCTATCGCAAAGATGCCATGGGCTTCGGGTTTTGCTGTGGCCTTTCATGGAGTTAGGTGTAGGGTTTAGGGTTTAAGGTTTAGGGTTTAGGGTTTGGGATTGGTTCTACTTCTAGGGCAAGCAAGGCGACACATATGAAAGTGGCTGCTCTTTTGCTACGCTGGTCTTACTTGGAGGTTCATGGTACTTATTAACCAATTATAACTGTACTTAGAACCATCTTGGGGCACTTAGAGGGCTTATAAGTGGGTTGTACGTATAGTTATAATTGTTTCGTAAGTACCATGAACCTTTTTGATTTCGAAACCCGAAACCCGAAACCGTAAAGGGTTTAGGGTTTAGGGTTTAGGGTTTAGGGTTTAGGGTTTAGGGTTTAGGGTTTAGGGTGTTAAACCCGAAACCCCTTAATAGCTGAGTGAGTACACTTTGCACTTTTTGGCTACTAGAACCCCCTATAGAGTTAGGGCCAGGCATGCCTCAACTCATTTTTCAGAACGCTTTTTCCTCACACGTTTTTTCCCTAGGGGGGAGTATACATTTTCCAATTTCCAAAATATTTTTCCTCATTTTTGACATCAGCCCCTCGCACGTTTTCCATCAAAAAAATCACTAAAATTTACAAAAAATATTATATAAAATTTAGAAAATCAATTTTTCAATCAGCATAATTAATTCAATTTTATTTTTTTGTAAATTTTAGGTCACTTTTCAAGCAGTCAAATAATTCAAAAAATCATAAAATTTCATAAATTTATGATAAAAAATTCATAAATTTTGTGAAAATTTTATCATAAGTTTTCAGAAAATTTATTCAAATTTTTGAACAAATTTTATCATAAATTTTATTACAAAAATTCATAAATTTTGTGATATTTTTTGTGATATATTTTTGTTAAATTATAAATTTAATAAAAATTATTCAAAAGTTTTGAACAATTTTTGTGATATTTTTTTACACTGCTTGTTTTTTGTTCTTAAAATAACTGGTTAAATTATTTAGTGTATTTTGTATATTTTTAATATATTCATCGTCTATAAATGTTGTGTTAGAATTATTTTTCATTGTTATCAATATATCTTCTTGTCTTTTTAATATCAGATATTTTTTCATTGCATATTCATCATATAAGTTATCTAGTTCTTTTTCAAATACCTCTTTATATTTGTCTTTATCCATCGTATATATAATACTATATATTTTTCTTTTTAAAAGTTTTAAAACTTTTAAACATATTTGTCGCCTTCCTTTACAACCTTATAATATTCCATAGTTTCCGGTTTAGGTTGTAAAATTGCTCCTTCGTTTAACTTCTTAATATAAGCGTTTCTTTTGTTTGCATATGTTCCTTCAGGATTTGTATTTGATTTATATTTAGGTTTTTCAGTTAATACTTCAAGTTTTTCTAACACCGTTTCCATATCACGGGTTAATTCTAAAACCATATTATAGATTTTTTCACTGAATTCTTCAAATTGTTCATTTACTGGCACTTCTACTTTTTCTTCAACCTTGCTTTTACCAACTGGCGTATATACAATATTATATAAAAGTTTTTTTAAAACTATATATTTTTAAAACTTTTTAAAACTTTTCTTTATCGCTGGCGTTACAGTTGCACCTCTTGCAATATGCTATGCAATTGCTTATTGTATGCGTTTGATCGTTAAATTTCCGCTGTGCGGTTAAATTCGTCCTTATATTTCCACCTATTGATTTAACATAAAAATCTACACTACATTTTTCACAGCTCCCGTTCAACCTATTTAATAGCCATTCTGGGGTAATATAATTCTTATGATCTATTTTTCTTTTTGCTTTTCTGTCTTGTTCCTTATATCCTTCAACCTTTCTACATAAATAATTATATATGCATCTTTTATTAAATTCATTATCATCATTATCATATTTGAAGAATGATACATTATTTAAATCTGTCGCTCTTGTAATCGCTGTCCACATCCAGTTTTTATCCACTAAACAATGATTATAATCAAATATTGTTATACCTCCCTCAATGCTTGAACCTTGGACACTGTGGCAGGTAAAACAATAATTGAATATAAAATGCTTCCTTAACATATCCAGCGGTAACTGTTGAATTATTTTAGTATGTTCGTCTTCTAAAACTACCACATTTTCAATTATGTTTAAAATCTTGTATTTAAAATTAACTTGAAATTTATAAGTTTTTGATTTTAAATACTCTCTGCATATCATTATTTCTCCTACTTCATATTCACCTTTTCTATTTTGCATTTTTCTAATTTCATTTGCATCTTCCCTACATGTATCATTTAAATATGCTACATTATTACTGTTTAAATTTATGTTAGATGTGTATTTAAAATATTTTTTCACTAAATCCCTCGCATTAATATTATTTTCAAAAATGTCAATATAAATATTTTCTAGTTTTTTCCTGTCTTCTTCTTTCCTTAACCGTTTACAAACTTTCAGATAAATATTATATTTAAATATCTTATCCACGCAGTTATCGGCGTATTCTTCGTGCTCCTGTAAATTAGTTAATCCTGATACCGGTTTTAATTGTTTACCGTCGCCGGTAGCTACTATTATCTTATCTTGGTTAGTTTCTACAAATTCCCTAATTCTGTTTAATACCCTTAAACCATTAAAATAAATCTCGTCAAACACTATGACATCATAACCTGAATAATCAAATTTTTCTAGCTTTTCGTCACCCACGGCTATAGAAAAGAATTTATTTACTGTGATTGCTTCCTTGCCGTATTTTTGAACAAGTTTATTAGTAGGACATACAAATAAGACATTCATACCCATATCTGCCATTTTTTCACATATATAACTCTTTCCTGAACCTGCATATTTTGCCCTGATCATAACATGTTTAGCGTTTATAACATTTGCTATTATATTTTTGGTGTCATTCTCGTCTTTAATTTCTATTGCTACATTTTTGTAGATAGGTATTTTATTTAATTCATTTGGTTTTTTCTTGTATTCCTCGGGTGCTAAAATTATTTCTTCTCCTTCCTTGTTTGTTCTCCATTCTCCTATGCCGGTTTTCATTTCTAAAATCTCCCGCGCTTTATCAACATCCCGTGTTCTTATTACAAATGAATCTGTTTTAACGCCCATAAGAGATACAAAATTTTTCACTAGTTTATTATAATCTTTAAGCATTTTAAAATTATGATCTTGAAGTAACAGCTCTTTTATATAAATATATCCATTATTTAACATTACACTGTCCGATAAGTTCACTAAATAATAATCCGTTCCGCTTGGTTCATCATACATTCTTGAATAAATGTTTTCGTCTTCTTTATCTCCTGTGAACATTATATCGTGATGACATTCTACCT